GTTTTAAATCAATAGAGACAGTGTGTTGATAGATACAGACTGTGTGTCTTAAATCAATAGAGACTGTGTATTTAAATCAATAGAGACAATGTGACTGTGAATAAATTAATTTAACTCTTTCTCGACATGCGACATTTTTCACGGCAAGCAACATTTTGATTCAACTGTTTTATAACGTAAATATTTCAGCGCGTATTCACCCCCCTTAAAAACAAAGAACACCATTGAAATCCTAGCAAAATAAGCTTTTCATCGGGGGGGGTTTAATGCCATCAAAACAAATACACAAACTGAAACAATCCTATATTTGCTCACCGCTTGGCCAAACATTCTGTATTTTCATATGGAGAAAAAGTTGAATATTTTCTAAACCTTTCAGATTTCGCCACAAGTTAATATTAGTGAAATATTCCTTGTATTCAAGCGCTTTTATGTAGAAAATTTCGTTTGAATACGACGGGTAGAAATGTTTATTTGGAATTTTTTAGTATATCGGGTTTCATCGGGTTTTTACTCGCACGCGCGTGCTGCATGTAAAATTGGCCAATAAGGAGTATGCCGTAGCCCCAATGCACGTGAAAATCACGCTCCAGATGTAATTTGACCTTTAGAATCGATTTCCGATGTTTTCCGAGCGCTAGGATGTAAACACGCAATGTTTTGGGCGATCTAAAGTGTATTTCCGGTTAAAAATATCCCGCTGATTTCATTAGTTTCGCAACAGATTGAAATACCGAAATAAAAGACGAAAAACTAATAATAATAATAATAATAATAATAATAACATTTCTATAGCGCATATCCATTGCTGTTCTATGCGCTTTACATTGTAAAATTAAGTATACAGTAGTTTACATCTATTATATATGTATAAGCTATAATATTAAAATTCGTCTTATAAGTCCCATATGTCTATAATATGTATATCTAAAAAACTAGTAAAAATATTAAAATAAAATCTCTTATAACTGTAAGTCATATGTCATAAGCTAATTTAAAAAGATGAGTCTTTAATTTGGATTTAAAAGTATTAATGTCAGTTATAGATCTAATATCCACTGGCAGTGTGTTCCAAAGTTTTGGGGCAGTTACCGAAAATGCCCGATATCCATAGGTTTTAAGTTTGTATGGTTGTTCTGTAAGACGCCATTTATCTGCTGATGAGCGAAGTATTCTTGTTGGTTCATAACGGCATATAAGTTCTTGTAAATATTTAGGAGCAATGTTATTTACTATTTTGAAACACATTAAATTAATCTTAAAAACTATTCTTTCTTGAACTGGCAACCAATGTAGGTTTCTTAAAGTTGGGCTGATGTGGTCATACTTTCGCAAGCAAGCTATAACCCGTGCTGCTGAATTTTGTACATTTTGCAGTTTATTGAGTTCATACTTAGGTAGACCATACAAAAGTGAATTGCAGAAGTCTAATCTTGAACTGACAAACGAATGAACTAGTACTTCCGTTGTGTCCGCACTAATATACTTTCTGATCTTGGCTATGTTCCTTAAGTGATAAAAAGCTCCCTTGACCACTTCATTTATGTGAGGTGACATTGTCAATGTTCTGTCGAACGTTACTCCGATATTTCGTGCTTTTTCACTAGATTTAATGGTGTCAGATCTAACAGTTATGTTTGGTTGCAACGAAATCTGTCGAAACTTCGAGTGGAGAACAAGGAGTTCTGTTTTGTCAGTATTGAGTTTTAGCTTATTAGCAGACATCCAGTTGGTGATATCAGCTAGACATCTTTCAACCCGACACGTCGCCAACGAGAGTTCAACATCATTATTGAAACCAAACGTGGTATATATTTGATTATCATCTGCATATAGATGAAATGATATGTCGTGTTTTCGCATTAGATCTCCCAATGGAGACGTGTATAGCAGATATAATAATGGTCCCAACACCGACCCTTGTGGAACCCCGTAACTGACGGGATGAACTGATGAACTGCTCCCATCTATTTTGACAAAATGTGTGCGGTCTGTAAGATACGACCGAAACCATGCTTGAGCTTTTCCCTTTATACCAAAATTTGACTGCAATCTGTTTAACAAAATGTCATGATCAACAGTATCGAATGCACTTGATAAATCCAACAATAGAAGAATCACACATTTGTTGTTGTCAATGGCTTTCAAGATGTCATTCTGAACTCGAACAAGTGCCGTTTCGCAGCTGTGATACTTCTTGTAAGCCGACTGGAATATCTCATTTAGATCATTTGTGCAGAGGTGATCCCATAAACGCGAAGCTGCTACTTTCTCAATAACCTTCGATAAAAATTTCAAATTAGAGATTGGTCTAAAATTTGAGAAGCTTTCAAAATTCAAAGTTTGTTTCTTTAATAACGGAGATAGCAACGCTTGCTTCATGGAAGTTGGCATTATAGTGGATTCAAATGAGAGATTTACAACTCGACAAATGATGGGTAGTAAATCGGTGATGCAATTCTTGAGTAGTGACGCAGGCACTGGATCCAAACTACACGATTTGGTTGATATTTTGCCAACAAGAGCCGATAGTTCTTCGACGCTTGTTGGGAAAAGTTCAGTCAACTCGCTATCAATAATCATTTCATCAATCTGCTCAAAATCAGAAGAATCAGCGTTAGGTAAATCATCAATCTTTTGTCTTATTGCCACAATTTTTTCAGAAAAGAAGTTGGCAAATGAATTGCACAGTTCAGCAATAGAATTACATGTGGGATAATGTTTTTCAGATTTGCGGTGCAACAAACGATCTATTGTATTAAACAAAACTTTGTGATCCGACTTGTTTTCAAGAATAAATGCAGAGTAATAATTCATTTTTGACGACTTGATGATATCCCTTACCCGTTTGCACTGATCATAATACTGCTGTTTATCCATATCTAATCCAGACTTACGCCAACGTCTTTCAAGTTGACGACACTTGCATTTCTCCTTAGAAATGTCCTCAGTATACCATGGTGCAGACGGTCGTGAACTTACTATGCATGTTTTTAAAGGTGCATGGGAATCGACAACCTTGAGCAATTCACTGTCATATTGGTCACATAAATCTACCACATTACACGCTTCCGAGGTGAATAGTGCGCATTTAATTACATCATTTCGAAAAACTGCTGGGTCTACACTGCGAAGTTTGCGGTATTGTCTCTCTTGCCTTGGTAGACGTGGTTTAATAAGATGTAATTTTGTATGGATAACTTTATGATCAGATAGTTGAGGATCCATGGATGACCAGCTGTGAATCATATCCTCACATGACCTAGTAATCACAAGATCCAAGGTGTGATTTGCTTTATGAGTTGCACCAGTTATATGCTGCTTTAAATTGTAGCAGTCCAGTAAATCAAGGAATCTTGCAGCCTGAGGGTTTGTGAGATCATCAACGTGAAAGTTAAAATCTCCTAGCAATACGAGTTTGCCGCTGGATACAGCCAATCGTTCAAGTAAGTCAGAAAATTCATCGAAAAACATGTTAACTGTTTGTCCATTTTCTGCAGAAGGAGGGGGTCGATAAACTATACCGATCCTCAGAACTGTACTAGGCGATCTAATTAAAGTTTCCATATACTCGAATGATGAATATTGGGCAACATTTTGTTTTTCTGTCTTGTAATTCTTTTTATACAATAAGCCAACACCGCCCCCATAGCCTATACTTCGTGGAATATGCATAAATGCATACCCGCGAGGACAGAGTTCATTAATCAAATACACATTGTTCGAGTTTAACCAAGTTTCTGTTACTGCCAAACAATCTACACGGTGTTCTACAACGTAGTCCTTTATAAACATGGCCTTGTTGTTTAAGGAACGGGCATTCAGCATAGCGAGGTGCAGCAAATTTGAGGCTTCAGTTTTAGGACAATTCTTCGTGGGCGTAATGTTTACAAGATTATTTAAATTAGCACCAACATTATTTCTATGTTGAAATATGCATTGCCTTCTTCTAGTAATGTTTACTAATGGAATTCTCTGTATTTCGTAAACAGATGAAACACGCCTACCTACCCCATAAGCTTCGAAATCATCTTGAGAATGCCTTACATCACCAAAACACGGTCT